CTCAACTGAAAACTCTAATTCCTTCTTCTGTTTCAAAAATCCATCGGAAATTAATTGGGTTCTTGAACCTCCACTCGTTCCGCAATTCCTGGCACATTTCCACTCTTGGTCAACTCGAATTTGGTTTATTTAAGACATTCATTTGCCCTCTTATTCAATCTCGTAATTTGCGCTGCTCCGTTCATCAGCTTTTCCTATCCTGCCTTCCTCTAATTTCCTATTCAGTTCTTCCCCCATTCTTTTCCCTGTGCTTCCAAATTCTCCCTATTTCCCGTTCCTCCGCTTTCCTGCTTTAGTTCTTTGCCGATTCTTTCTGTTTCTTCTTAATTTCCTATTTGTTCTTCCGCTATTCTTCTTCTGGTTCTTCCGGCCGCCTTGTCTGTGCCTCTAATATCTTCCTTGTTCTGTTCCTCCGCCCTTCCTGCTCTGTTCTTTCAAATAATATTTCATTCATCATCTTGCCATTAGATCTGGCATGGGTATCTACCCGGCCCTCCTGCATTTCGGTTTCCTGGCTGACTGGTTCATCGGCGTCGATTTGTACATATCTACCTTTTCATTAAAACAATCTCCCGACGTGTCATCTAATTGGCTTCCACTCGCACTATCCCTACTGACCCAAAAATTATTCCACGATTCCTTCATCCGTATCATCTACTCGTTCCCCCTTCTCCATCCCGATCCAAACATTATTGGTTTCGGGCCTCCACTCTATTATCTTTGAATTTACTGTTCGTCCCAACGGATACGTGAGGTTTTACACGACCTTTCCACTAGCTTCCCAATGGCTCTACACTGCAATAAATGCTCTTTGCTAATATCCTGGCCGTTATTCAACCCCGTGTCCTGGCACACACATTTACGCTCGGATCTTTCAATGGTAAACAACAGATTCCATCAATTACCATCTAATACACCAAATACACTATTCTATGAAAAAAAATTCCCACAATCACATTAAAATACACAATATTTCCCTTCCAGTAACATAACATATCCACCAAATAGACCAATATACACTGCTAAAATTCTTTTCAACTTATTAACATCAAGAATTTCAAAATTGTGCAAATTTCACTATTTGCTTTTACACTAATTTTCATCTTGTCTCAATTAACTCCATATATTTTTGCAACAACCCCAACCCAATTTGGTTGGATTACCTTCATTTGTAAAATTCCCTCAGTAATAATACATAAAAACATTCAAAAATGCCCATTTTAAAATATAGTATTCCACACACTTTTACCAACGCACATATTGATTGCTTTTGTCGCCCTCCAAATAATGAATACATCTAATAACATCTAACTGCCTTACAAATATTTCCAGATCTACCTTTTGTTGCACAATTATATCTGCTAGTATTTTCATCACACTAATACCTCTTTTTCCTTTTCCAATAGCCAGTTAATCCCTCTCTCTTAATGATCAGAGAACACACTTTACAAATAGTATTTACAAATCGAAACGCGCAGGCCTTGGAAACAAGTGCACGGTCAACGCTACCTAGATGTTTTAAAAATCACCTGCTTCCTCTGGAGGCGACCGGGGCCGTCGTAGCAACGGCGGCGGTGGCTTCGGTTCGCCCCGAAGTCCGCCGGGAATTCGCCCTCCCTCGGCGACCAACTCCTCTGTCCCACCGTAACGGCCGATGAATTCGCCGGGGTCCACCCCCAGCCGGTACGAATAAAGTCTTACGGGTACTGGAACGCACGACGCGTGATTGATGTTCGTCGGTTGTTCCAGTCTTTTCAGCAACCTTTCTCAACTTCGCGCGAATGTCCGTAAGCACTGCCCACTGTTATATTATACCAGGGGCGGGATTATAACACTAGCCCACCGGCCACACGATTTCCTATCTTATTGGTTTTTTATCAGTTCTGGTACGCAATTCTACTTCCACTAATCAACTGACTGTTAATCTTTATCAAACTTGGTTCCATATTCAGCGGCCACACTCAGTCCGAACTGCACTTAACAACAACAATAAATCTCTTGGACGCAACATTGCCCCGCCCGTGCTTTACTCGGGGCCTCTCCGCGCGCCACTAACCGTCGCTCGCCTCGCCGTTTACCCCCCGATTTTACCATTGGTGACGGCGGCGGCGGCGTTACTGCGCTGATCAACTCCAGTACTTTATTTTAATTATAATTAGTGATCAATTTTAATTGTTCTGATACAGAAACGTTCTTCGTTTCAACATATATATATTTTTATATGATTTGATAAAGGTATATTTGTAGATATGCGAGTTGACAGATATGATGCATTAAAAGTAGGTACATATAAAAAACACTCAGATTGGATAGTTAATAAAAAGTGTTGCAATAATGTTAAAAATATTAAAACATAAATTTGAATGCTTAAATCAAGAAGATTTTAGATGTTTTGAGTATGCAATAGAAAATGTATTAAATTCAGTAGCTAAAAATAGTGAAAGACTACCTAGAAATAGTGAAAACAATTATAATACGAAATATAACGATTTCAATTTGGTTTTTCTCCTAGAAATAACGCCAGAGAATATACAAAATATGAAAATTTTTTAAACACATCAATAAAAGTATATATGTTTGAAGATTCAAATATATATATATTACGTGTAGAGATGAAAAACATTAGTGCATTATTAAGTAATTCATCATAAAAACTTTTTAAATGTATTATTGTGAAAAAAACTTTTAAAATTTTGATAAATGATAACTTAAATATCATATTAATGAATGCGCACATGATACAAGATATAAATGCCAATATATGCAGATAGATAATATAAATCAATTTGTGCTGATATCCTCCATATACTTTATTATTACATTTTGAGAGTTGATTAGATAAAATTTTTAAAAAGTGTTCATTATTCTGTGTATCTTCATCAACAAATTTGAAAATAGATTTTGTTTTCATTCTACGGAAGACACTACACTAACATGGGATAAAAATATAGAAATTGTAATTTAAATTTAAACCATTGCAAAATTTATACCAGTACTGATTCATAATATAAGGTATGATTCAAACTATTTTTACGTTGGATTTTAAACTTAGTGACAATTATTCAGATAATAAAATTTTACCAAATTCTGCAGAAAACTATATTACTTCTTCAAAATATGTAATTGTAGACAAAATTGCAACTAAGAATTATAATTCAATATGCAAAAATTCGAAATGTAAATAACATTAGTTTAATAAAATTATAGAAAATGTGAAATATGTATTAAAGAAACAAGAAATACAAGGGGAGCACGTCTATTTGATCAAATAATATGGTTCAAATTGATAAATATATTTAGATTTATTTGCACAAGTTTAGATCAAGCAGTCAAAAATTTAGCACAAATAAATAACTGTTTTTGTTCAAACTGTAAATCAAATCAAGAAATATGAAACGTAAAATGTCATCCAATGGAACACAATAATATTTTAAAAGCTCCTGCACATTGTAGAAAATGTAAAAATCATGTATTCAAAACTATTGACAATGCCAAAAAATCAAAAATATTTGTAAACAATTTAGAAAGGATACACATATTGTATTACAAAAATTTTATTATCCATGCGCATAGGTTGATAGCTATAATAAATCAATGTCATTAATAATACATGTTAGGTAGTTAGCGTTTTCTTGGTACTTAACAACACACAAATCCTATTATTCGCTATGCGCGACACAAATCGAATATCACTTGAATAGATAAAAGTTGATTTTTTACTCACATAATATTTTATTGTAAGTCATTCGTGGACTTCTATAATAATTGATTGGGTCCTTTGATGGGAAAATGACCATTGCGCTGCTCCAGCATAAGGTTTCAAATTTGATCCATGATTTTGTTGTTGGACCTTCAAGGTTATGTTTTCCTTGTTGTGCAATGTATCCATATTGACGCTATTTGCCACTCTCTCGAGTAGCAGCTATACACAGAATACACTTGAAGAAGAGAATATATCACAGTTTCGTTTATACCTACACCAAATAAGGTATTAGAATCTCTGTCGAAAGCACACGCAAACGGAGCATACGATGCTCCTAGTACTGCGGTCCGCCGCCGACTCCGGGAGAATCGTACTTTTGTAATTTTTAAAATTGCACATATTGCTCGCAAAAATCAGGGATTTTCGACAAACACGAGATGTGCACCATTCTCTTAAGGGTTCTTTTCACTATCTGAGAAGAAAGTTTAATCAAAAAAACTTGAGAAATATTTCAAAATGTTAAGTTCCCTCAAAAATCAAAATATCCGTTTGAACTCCGAAAGATCCGAAATCGTTCAGATCGCTCAGGGAATATCAGTTTAGGAGAGAATCGTCTGGACAGTTTAGGCGCAGCGGTTTGGCGTTAGCCACCCACAGACGTACGAGCACAATGACATTTTTGGGTATGAAACAGTTATAGATATGATCTATGATCGAGTATGATACATTTTCGAGTTCGGACCCAGAAAACATTGATTCTGACTAAATCACGTTTTAGAGGAAGTAATTTACTATACAATATGAACAGGATTTATCAACTTTTTTGTTGGACCCGATAATAAGAGTTTTCTGCCGAAAATTCGCCGTTTTCCGGCGCTCAATTACTTAACTTTCTCGTCTTACGAAGCAAGTGCAAGAAAGAAACTGAAAGTTGAAGGTAATTATATATTTATATAGTTATTTGTTACTATTAAAGGATAATATGACTAAGCGTTCAAAGATTATTATTTTGTATAAAAATAACCAGAAATCAAAACTAATTCAAATTAAATTCTGATTGTTTCAAATTATTTTAGCACTTATATATTATTTTTTCCTTCCCGTAAACATTGAGACGTCCGTCATCATAATTTTGCCACTACGATCATTTCACTCATGTTTATTATTTTGTACACTTCTCCAGGGAAATTCACCATCAAGTGTGTGGAGAATAGCAGGCTGCCAACCACGAATCGATCATGATTGTGACACTGACCTCATTCTTCTCTTGTAAGAATACTTTTGTGTGGTTCCGTAGGCAACTATACGATCAACGAGTGCGTGGAGAACGCGCTGTCTACCGAGTGCATTTCGACCATGATTCTGCCAAGGGTTCATCTGTCTACATCTCCTCATGTTTTATGTTCGACAGGGAACTACACGATAAACGAGTGTGTGGAGAACGCCCTGTACGCGGGCAACGACGGCTGCAACAGCTGCCAGTGCAACGCGTTCCGCAGTTTCTCCTGGTGCACGCGCAAGATCTGTCTGCTGTCGGATGCTTCCTCGCCGCAGCCTCTCCTGACGGCCACGCAGTCTCCGCGTTCGTCTTCCCCCTCTCAGGCGCCGCCATTTACCCATGCCTCGCCGCTACGCCCGTCGCGCCCGCCGTCCCGTCATGCCGCCTCTCCTACCTTCACTTCCATCACCGACTTCGCGCTCCGGGCCGCCTCGGGCGCGCCCCCGCAACCCCCTAGGAGGAGGGGCTGGACGCGCCGGCCGGCAGGCTCCAGCACCACGCGGGAGGGTCTTACTGCTTCCAGTCGCGGCCGCGATTAGTCTACTGACCTGATGCACCGAATAGATGCTGTACAGAAGATCTGTAAAATGAATGTTACAAACTTCTAGAGCACGTGGAGGAGTCGAAAATTATAACTTTTTGTGAGTGAATGTAGTGGGAAGTTTCATAAAATTCTCGCGTGGCCGCAGAGAGCTGGCACCCGCGTAAGCACAATGACGTAGCTCCGGCGCTACTAGAGCTTCTCAGCTGGGGAGGCCTATATATCAGCTTGCCTCTCCTTAGCGAGGAGTCCGCTACTATTCGAGAGCTCGTCCCTGTGCACGAACCTTCCACTCCGCCGTCGGTTCAGATCGGCCCAAATCGACCCTGCCGCCTTCCCTTCACGCCTAGTCGGTTCAGATCGGCCCTAACTTACCCTGCCGACACTCCTCCACCCAGCTAGTTCAAAGCGCCCCTCCGGGGTTCTAGCGGTTTCCCGCCCTTATCCCTGGCCACCGTGTACTTCGAGTGTCGCCAACGCTTCCGATAGCCGCTTCAAGGTCTCTCTTCCGCACAACAACCGTCAGTGAGACTGGGCTACGCAGAGAGTATTTTACACAGTCGGCACTCAATATTATTCCGAAGCTCCTTATTTTCAAGGAGGGGAGAAGGTCGACCTCCCACTCCGACGGAAGCAACGAATCAGACAGAAGCATCCATTTCTGCCCCTCGCCAGCCAATAAGCGTCGGGAGGCCTTATGTTACCCGGGACATTTGAAATTACTTTATCCAGTAATTTTTCAATATGGCAGTCTGTTAAAGAATAATCTATTTTAAGTGAAATTAATGCCTAAGGTAATGTAATTCAATTCTGAAAAGATTTATAATTGTGTGGTAGTTAAATAAATTGTAACGATGCAAGTAAAAATAAGAAAAAGATATTTCATATAAATAATATTTATTTGTAAAATATGCAAATATACATGATATACAAAAAATACAATATGCATGAAGAAAAATCCTATTATGTAAAATAAAGGAATACATTTTGGCCAATCATCTTGTGCCACACTAATATTACACATAATTTAACTGCAGCTAAACAATACAATCATACAAATACCTATCAAATTGATCATACAAATACCTACTTGATATTATATCTATATATAATTTTCACCCTTGCCGTCACCTTGTTGGATGCAAACGGAACGGTGACAATTATTTATACATATAAGGAACTATAATCGCGCACATGAAAACTGTTCAAAGGATTGGTTGTCTCGGTACCGTAGTGGTCATAGAATCTGGGCGTAAACCAGAAGGCCCAGGTTCAAATCCTGGCCGGGGCAACCAATTCTTGGAAACAATTGAACTATTAAAATTATATCATTCATAAAAGAATTCTTAAAATCGTCAATTAGTAGTTGTGAAGAAATATGTTTAGAAAATAATGTACATTTATACAAAACGGGGCTACGTCTGGTGCGTACGTAAGTAACACCTCCTTAATAAACTGATGTTTGTCATGACCGGGGTCATTCCTGTTCTTATTGATCCCTCTCATACGCCTTAGGCATTTAGGAGAATAAGGAAGAACTCTCTGCCTTTACCGTCTTTTTACTTCCCCGCATGTGGTGCCAAACACTTCCCCCACGACATAATGGTGGTACATATGTGACATTTGCGCCTGTTTCGTAAAGCCAATTCCCTATACACAGATCTTCAGCAAATGCATGACATTTCCTTGACTGCTCAGATGTGACTTGCGCACAATATAGCGATTTTGAAGAGATCGCATAAGAAGACACGTGGCAGTGAAAGGAGTAACTCCAAAATATGAAACTTCCTTTTACATGTTCAGTGACAAAAGCCGATCATATTTTACATTTCTACACCCCCCAGAATATTGTAGTATTTATTCTAAGGAATTTGCATAAGATTGCAGCCATGAAATCCATATCAAGCAGCCATATTGATTCAGTGATTTATCGTAGAATAAAAGTAAATGGTATATGTAATAACTTATAACATACGTTGTATATCACACTTAACATAACTTTTAGTGAATAGATGTACACGTTAACTTATACACATGTCTTTTTAGCACAAACACAAATAAAGACAATCCTATAGGATAAACGAAGCATCAATACTACTGAAAACGTAAAAGGAATTTAGAAGTGTTAGTTATTTATTTAAATATTCAAAATGTTTTTCGGATTATGTTGAAGTAGCAAATGTTTAATTAAAAAAATATTTCTCTTATTTTTAAATAAAATAATGTGCTAGAATAGTAGAATATGCGTAGACATTGCTTTATACCAATCTTCCAAAAATACGAAGGATGATTATCTATGTAACAGATACAGAAAAGAGGCGTGTTAAACGCGAGACGATTGTCGACTGAGGCACTAATCGAGGTCGAAGTAATATATTAAAATCCTTTCTGCCATGTGTAAAAAAATCTTCTGTACAACCAAAACTTAAAGCAAGCTTTTTGACAGCAATTCTACCAAGAAAAAAATGTACGTAATATACTAAAATGATTAATATTGCAGCCCACTTTGGCAAGTGATAATATGGGTGGATTGTAAGTAAGATTGATTTTAAACCTAACTCGTGGTAGGAAACCAAAGAAAAATATGAATTGAATATTCGAAATATTTTTCCGTAGCGTAAAAATTAGACTTGTTAGATTCAGAGATCTGCATTTACTTTTATTTAGTTGGTGTTAAAGACAAGCGCGGAATTGTAATATCAGTAGAAGTATACTAGCTATAAGGTACACGTATCATAATATGTTTTTGTGAAGTAAAGCAACAAAGTTTAACTTATTCATTGTGATACTGAAGGATTAAACAAACATTTTATCTGTGTATGATAGTGATAGTGCTTGAAAAGATAGATTCTTGGTTTAGAACAGGAGGTTGGAGTTCTCGTCATATATTTGAAAGAGACGGCGTCAAGCTGAAATATTAAAATTAATGAAACTGAAATGTCATGACATGAAATGATGGAATAAAAATCTCCTGATATCTTTGTAATTATCAAATACTGTATTTTGTATATATTGTATATTAAAAATTATTTTGTTATGTTATTTTACATGTTCTTAGTTGGTAACTTCTGATTTCGGAACAGCGGAATCTGATTTTATGGATCTTAATCTTAGTCTTTTGGTTAGAAAGTAATGTTAATCAATTAAGTTGTTCATTAAAATAATACATAAATAATAATCCATGTCCTTTTTGACTCGGTAACCTTCTTCAATAATTTGAATTGTTGTACTAGAAAAGTACATCAATATTAAATTATTTTTTAAGTTAAGCCAGCAAATGTTCACATTTGTACTCTTGCGTGACTTCTGTGGGTATTGATAAGACAACTCTGTTTATAACTGATTAGAGATGCTAAGTCGAACAGGTAGATGGATACCTTAAATATTAGATTTTTTACGTTAAAAATATCAAACTCAGCAAATAATATCAGAAAATAGTTGTCACATTGTGTGCCATAAATATAAATATGATAGAAATAAACAAAATATTTTGAATTTATCAGTTGTTTTATTAATCAATAACATTTCTTGACACATATCGCTTTTCCATTCCTTGGACTTACAAACTGATTCAGTCTTAAATAGTAAAAATACGAGTAGATAAAAAGTATACCACAGCCTTATTTAACTAATTAATAACGTTTTCTTCTAAATGCATTTTATACGAACAAAATTATTTCTAATTCACAAATAATCCAAAATACTTTGCACTCGTGTACATTTAATGTACTCAAAACGTGAACATTCTGTTTTTAATGTAAGATTTAGAAAACATGTAAAATAACCATTCCCAAAGTGTCCTATATTGATGTCGATAGTTACAATAAACATTTTTAGGGTACGCGCCAGCTAGAAGTTGACTAATCTTGACACTATCTAATAATAATAATAATAATAATAATAATAATAATAATAATAATGATAATGATAATAATAATAATAATAATTATTATTATTATTATTATTTTAATATGTAGTATCAAATTAATTAAAATAGCTTTTAACCTCGTCACTGCCGTCAATATGTCCTATGAATGATCTTTCATATTCTTTCACTAAAAAACGTAAAGCACAAATTTCACTTGTGTGGGTATATTGTCAATTCCGCGACGACGCAAAACAAAAGCGAGGAAGAAACATTTTGTAAGCACGAACTTAAAATGCTTGCAGAGATATGATAATTTTTTCACTTAATCTTTATTTTTAATAAAGTGAATTTAATTTGTGGACAATATAATTTGTATATTATTTCATAAATCTAAAAATTGCTGCTGTTGTAATTTTTACCACTGCAGATTTCTATATTAAATGTTGCGAATGATAATATCATTTATCGATCCCTGGAACCCAAAAATTTGAAACAAAAATGAAATAAATGAACATTCAGGTCCGATTTCCGAGAGATTTTCGAGAGTCCGATTTCCAAACTACTACGAAAATACACTTTGAGGATGTCAGACATCTGAGTGTCGATCGGCTTCTCCACAAACTGGCGATCCCCAATCTCTTCCCGGTCGTTTTTCGAAATGTCTTATTGTAATATTTTTAAAATAATTAATGAGTAGTTTACAATTACTTGAATGAAAACCACAGGAGAGTAATAAGTATCTTTACTTCAGGGATTTGATATTTTTTCATGAAAAAATATTTTTTAAATGAGAACTCATAACACATTGATTGAAGAAAATTTAATTTTAAATGATTATAATAAAAAATCGAAAGTAATTGATTATTTTACGTCACTGTTTAAATCAATGAAGTTTTGTCGGACGATCTCATGGAGTCTGTGCAAAATGCCGTCGTCATGGAAAGAATAGCCTGGCTGAAGGTCAGGAGAGTATTTTGCCTTAGAGAACACCACCTCCTGTGTGACAGCCACCACCTCCTGGAAAGTGGGTCTAGACGATAAAACCACCGCTCATTTCGTGATTACTCAATTCAGATGAGCAAAACCTAATTGGGAAGGTAAAAGTGCAAATTATTTTTTTAAAGTCACAT